TCTGCCTCCTCTCCCTGTTCTCCTAACACTTCCCAACTCTTCTATTCATCTATCTCTGAGCTGTGACCTTCCTCAATCTCCTGCTATAAATCAATGCTACATTCCTCTTCTTCTATAGTGTCAAGATCACGGTGTGTGTGTGTGTGTGTCTGAGAGAGAGAGAGAGAGAGAGAGAGATCCACCATTCTTCAAGTTTTTAACACTTGATTGGAAGCCACCCAGAGTGGCTGGGGAAGCTCTGGGTATAAATAATGGGCTGGGTATAAATAATAAATTATTATTATTATTGTTATTATTATTATTATTATTAATCTCATCCCCTTGAGTCCAATCCCTGACCCTTGGTGTACTCAACAACATTGGCTGTGTACGCACTTATCCATTTGGAGCACTAAAACGTAGTTTTTATCACTATAGGATTCATGTCCATCCACAACATGCTGCTTTATTTAGATTTATTGTAGGTCCTGCTGCCCAGAAGGGTTGATGTGGTCTCTTGAGGTGTGTTTGCAAACTACTCCTTGATTAGATTACACATTTGAAAACCCTCTCCTTAAGCTCCACATCATCAGACCCTCCAAGTGTCCCTATTTTCCAGGGATGTCCCTGATTTAGAGAAGCCACTCCAGGTTCTGGTTTGATCCTGGAATGTCCCACTTTTCCTTAGGATGTCCCTATTTTCATTGGAGAAATGTTGAAGGGTATGGCTTTACCCAACCCCTGAGCCATCTGAAGACAATCCTGTATAGGGAAGGTTTTTTTGGTTTTTTTAAAAGTTTAATGTTTTATTATTATTTTCTATATGTTGGAAGCTGCCCAGAGTGGCTGGGGCAACCCAGAAAGATGTGTGGAGTATAAATAGTAAAATTATCATTATGGAATGCGATGTTGCTATTTTCATTGGAGAAATATTGGAGAGTGTGCATCATGGGACCAATACGGGTCCAATGGGCAAGACGTAGCTGCATTTGGTTTCAAATGGACACATTGTGTGTGTGAAGGGGGTACAGAATCAAATTTAAATGAGAATTTTACTTTTGGAATGAGACCAGTTTGTTATGTACCCATTGGTCTCCCTTCATGTTTTGAAACCCTGGCTGGATCTAGACACATCAAAAATCGCTACAGTTAAATGCGTTGCAAATTTGTATGAGAAATCGGGTTAGCAAAAACTGAACTCCACAGCGCCATCTGGTGTCACAGTGTTAGAATGCATATACAACGCATATATAGTGCTTTTTCTTTGCCAGTGTAGCTGAGTCACTGATCTCCTGACTTCAAGCTAAGTTTATTAACTTCTGTTTCCTTCTGATATCCATCTTTATTTAAAATGCTTTATATATACTTCTACAGCACATTACTTTAGACCTTCTAAGACAAACCTGATCTATTTCAGGTTGTTACTCTCTGCCATTTCGCTTGCCCCTTGCTAGGTCAGCTAATTTGGAAGCACATCAATACACTGTAGCCTTGTTTCAAGTAAGCCAATGGACATTGTAGTGAAATTGTAATAAGAGCCTCTCTTGGTTATATAAATCTGCCTCTCTGCAGCATCCACTTTCCCCCTTATAAAATATTCTATCCACTTACCAACCCTGGTAACAAATATTACCATTTCTCAAATGGGATGATAAAAAACTACCCAGCTCTTGCTCTACCTAATGTACTTCACAGACTTTTAGATCAAACCTGTCTCATTGAAAAATCTCATTCTTAAGCATTTCCTTTAATCGTCCCAATGATTTTTCTTTTCAGTAATTTGCATTAAAAATAAAATGAAACTTTCCCCCTGCCAGCCATCTATAAGCCATTTTCTTCCCCCAATTCTGTTCTTTTGGCAGTCTTCAGTTTGAACAAGGGAGAAACTCAGATCACTAGTAAGAAGGGAAAGTTCATGCTATTTGAAGATTCTAAAGCACTTTCCTTTAGAAAGACAACATCTAAAGAGCTAAACTTTCACAAAAGAAGCACGGCCTTGGGAGAAAGGTTAGCACAGCATATTAAACATTCCTTAAAAAAAAAAATTAGAGAGAAGCTTCTCTTGGAGGAAAGAAAGCAAAATTGTGCAAGATACTATGCAGTGAGTAGAAATTCAGATGCATTAGTGCTAAACACTATACATCTCTCATCAGTGCACAATACTCCCCTCCGAACCCCAAGGGAACTCTTTCGTAACTTATTTACAATAATATTAAGTGGGCTACTCATTAGACTTTGCAACACATACTTTCAACAAGGGAAGACTTTTAGATGCGAGCATCCTCTTATCATGGTGGATTAAATCTTCCCCCGCATCTCCTTATCTTCTGTTTGCTATGTCAGGGCAAAATAAATTTGATTCTTGGACATGGGAGCGTGGTTTTTATCAGTGCACCTTGGGTGGAAATGTCACTGTATTTTTCAATGGAAATAAAGCACCAATCTGCCACTTTGAAGGATGAAAATTCTGTGAAAACCTTGTGCGGGAAAGTTTGGAACCAGTTTTGTACAAACAGGATTTACAACTCAGCTCTGATTAATTCATTTTATACCCAACAATGGCCATAGTGGAATTGTTCCTCATTTTGGACATGAGTTGAGTGGCTGCTGAGGTCTGGGCTCTACCAGCTGGTATGGTAATGGGGTGGGGTGAGCTGAGCTGAGCTGAAGTGGCACCAACAAGGTCAGAAGAACATGCACCTTGATGGCCTGTTGACGTCAACTCAGAGCTCCTCCAGCCTCACCACTGTCCCAACCCATCTCCATCCCAACAAGAACCACTGCCTGTAAGGCACCAATCCCCACCCTACTGAGCTACTTACTGCTGTGTGTGCTTTCACCGCATTCATAAGTGTTAGTCTAGGGGTTACCATCATAGTGAGAACTAGGCTCACATCTTTATGCTCCTCAGAAGAGTGCAGAGTGCTTCCATGCTGAAAAAATGACCAAAGAAATCAGAGTTGGTCAAATATACCTGTAGTTTGGATCACACGGCTTTTGTGGTTTCAGGCTCACTGACCAGCAGGCTGGGAAACTGCTTTGCAAAAATTTATATTAGGAGGAAAATGTAAATAAGGGGAAATTCACACTAAAATTCTGGCGAATTTTCCTGAAAACTAAAGACATAATCATCATCATCAACACCATAAGAAACCATGAGGAGGGAAAATGAGAAACTAAGAAAAACCAGAATGGACAGATTCATCAGTCCTGACCTGGGAGTAATACCCATGGATCTCAATCCTAGACATGTATAGGATTGAATTGTTGGTATAGCACACACACTTTCATAGCTAAAAGCTTTAAGAATTCTCAGATCATCATGCAATTACCTATGAAGTACATTGTAATATCTGACAAAGCAATGCTGTGCCTTGCCTGGACTGACTTTTACAGATATTCCAATTTCCTGTGAATTAAACTCAATAGAAAGAGATGTTTCTAAAACAAACAGGCATTCTTCCACTCTCTGCTTAGAACATGTAAACTCAGCTTAATGTCAGAATCAATGTTTCTTCTTCTTTATCTCCTGCCCCCCCCTAACAGAAACCAACAGGCGAAGAACAGTTTTGCTACTTAATGAGTTATAAATGATCTAATTAACTGTCCCCTTGCAGTTGTCTTCACACTTCAGTAGTGAGCTGTTTATTTACGCAACTATATATTTTATAGCCATACTAATAACTCATTTGGTGTTTGGTAAAATATAGACATTTCTGATCCAGCATGAAGAAAACCTTTGCAAACACAAACATTTCTTCAGCAACACCCCCCCTCCCCGATTGCCTATTAAATTATTTCATGAATCCATTGGAACTTGATGGTGAAGGGTGGGTGGGTAAGAAATAAAAAAAAATCACAATCATCATCATTATTATTATTATGTCTGCACACAGAGAGGGGATTGCAGTTTTCTCAAAAGTAGCAATCCCATAACTGCCCCCCCAACCCAGATTCTTGGGATTACAAATTTCATTATAACAGACTATTGGCAATGTTGGTTGAGGCTGATGGAAGATAGATTCCCCAAAATCTGGAAGGCACCATATTCAGGAACACTGTACTAAAGTATCAGTTGTGCAATCTGGGGATTATAGTTATTTCATCTTTATCACTTTACACACACACTTTTGCTGGTGCCTCCTATCAGCAATGAGTAGTATTGGTGCCGGATCCTGAGGGCTGAGGACCTGGATCCTGAGGGCCGAGGCCCTGGAGCTAGCAGGCTGAAGAGCTTGCAGAGGAGGTCTGCTGCTGGGCGGGGGGGGGGGGGGGCTTTCACAATATGTTCTCTCCAAGGCTTACCAAGGTTGCCTGTCCGCTACCTCTCTTCATTCTGTATTTCACAGCTGCATCTGTCTGTGGCCATGTGTGTGTGTGTGTGTGTGCAGAATTGGATAAGATGACAGGAAGGATTCAAAACCTGCGGGACCAGAGATTCGCAGAAGATTGGAAGAAATATACGAACTATTTGAAGAGCAACTGTAATCAACAAATTACGCTAGTAGGACTACAAGAAGTTTTGTAAGGAGGAATATATGAAACATTGCAAAGAAGATAAAGAAGAAAGGCATTAGTTATGATATTTAAATGTAATAGTGAAAGTAAGAAATGTAAATTTAGTAGAAAAGATTGGAAAATTTTCAGGTGAGATTGATGGAAGTAAAAAAAAATGTATAAGATGTAAAAGTATGTTTTGTAATTGTTGAAAATGATATGTTAGAAAAACATACAGTGGTACCTCGGGTTACATACGCTTCAGGTTACAGACTCCGCTAACCCAGAAATAGTACCTCAGGTTAAGATCTTTGCTTCAGGATGAGAACAGAAATCTCATGGCGGTGGCGCAGTGGCAGTGGGAGGCCCCATTAGCTAAAGTGGTACCTCAGGTTAAGAACAGTTTCAGGTTAAGAACGGACCTCCAGAACGAATTAAGTTCTTAACCCAAGGTACCTTTATCTCTATCTCTATCTCCATCTCCATCTCCATCTCCATCTCCATCTATATCATCTATATCTATATCATCTATATCTATATCTATATCTGTATCGTGTGTGTGTGTGACGGAAAGGAATGCGCAGCAAGAAAGTCCCCTCGGGCTTCCCGTCTAGCAGTGCCCCCACTTTGTAGGGGTCAATCACGCCCCAGTAGCAGGGCAGCAAGTCGGGAACCAGGCAGTGGATGTACTCAGTCTGGGTGTGGATGCGCATGTCGGGTGGCAGCCCCACGGTGCAGGAAGAGGAGCCCACAGCCTTCTCGTCCTCCTCATCCGCAGCCACCAGTGCTGCCCATCCTGCGCCGGCCAGCTCGCTCATGCTGTGCGCCAGCTTGGGCCCCAGCTTGTAGAGGGGGTTGTTGATGTGGAAAGCATAATGCTGGTGGTCAACAAAAGAGATTTAAAGACTGTCTCAAGCAAATCTTAAAAAAATGTAGTATAAACACTGACAATTGGGAAACACTGGCCTGTGAGCGCTCCGTTGGAGAACAGCCTTTACCAAAGGTGTTGTGGACTTTGAAGATGCTCTAACTCAGGACAAAAGGGAGAAATGTGCTAGGAGGAAGGCACACTTGGCAAATCCACACCGTGATCAACTCCCTGCCAGAAACCAATGTCCCCACTGTGGAAGGAAGTGTGGATCCAGAATTGTTCTCCACAGTCATTTATGGACTCATAGTTAAAGCTGTGTTTATGGAAGACAGTCTTACTCAGCTACGAGTGATCGCCAAAGAAGAAGAAGAAAGAAGAAGTGTGTGTGATATGTTAGCGAGCATGCACTTTGAGTGGTTAACGTGTCTGACAACCGGTCATTGTGCACATACGCCAGACCTCATGGAGAATGTGCATAAATTTGCTTATTCATTTATTAGATATACCAATCTTCACTAAAAAGATCTCAGGATAGTTCACGAGATAAAAGCACAAGATAAAAAACTGAAATAAACAGACAAAACAGAAGCAACAGAAGCAACTCCTTCCCACAAACACATTTAAAATGCTATATGTAGAATATTAATCAGCCCAAGACCTGGTTAAAGAGGAATGTTTTGGTCTGGCACCTAATATATATATAATGAAGGTGCCAGACAAACCTCCCTGAGGAAAACATTCCACAAATGGGAAGCCACTGCAGAAAATGTCCGGTCTTGTTTTGCCATCCTCCAGACTTCATGTGGAGGAGGCATACAAAGAAGGGGCTCAGATGATGATTACAGAGCCCGGGTTGGTTTATATGGACAGAGGAGGTGCTACAGAGCTCCATACACCCCCTTCTGCAACTCCAGATCTGAAGTCATAGCCCAGCAGTCATGTGCCCACCCAGAGTTGTCTTCATACACTAATTATCATTCAGAGACTCACTGGAGTCTTTTTTTGTCCATCTCTCTTGGTCTAAGCAACACCGGAAAATCACAGGTATATCTAGGTATTTGATGCTGATTCCAGTTTTTCTCCTCTGGGACTTTTGTCTAAGAATGGCTAAAATGCCCGCTGTATTTTTTTGCGAGAGAGGAGGATGGGAAGGAAACCAGAATACATTGACTGCTTCCAGTGACAACCCCACCCCCCCGGCTCTCATTAGCCACCCTGCCTGCTGCCTCATCAGTTCCAGCTGCCGCTGCATTTTCTTGATACAGCACAAAAGTCTGCTGCAGGAGAAAAGAACCGAAAGCTAGAAATGTACTTCTGCTAATACAAGGCACTATACAATTTTTATTTCACAATGTTGCACCTTGGAAGCTGTTGCGCAACATTTCAGGGAAGGGCACTGATTCCGTAATATGTTCCACTAGTGCACCAGCCCTTTGTATATAATTCTAGCTGGATGAGGAGCCACTTCTGCAGTTCCTGTGCCACATGGTGGGTTCTCAGAAGAGCTGTTGTTGCAATTCTGCCTCTTAGTTAGTTCTTCTCCCTGCCAAACATATGGGATCAGGGACTGTAAATACAATGTTTTGGCTATGATCAGTCTTTCCCATGTGTCAAATCACTGCAGATTTTCAAGGAGAAGCTGCTGGTAGTGGGTGCCTTAAACAAAATCCATTTTTGTCTTCTGCCAATAATTCTCACCTTGGGCAATTTTGTTGGTTCTTTGTTTGCACTGGATTTTGAAAACATTCCCAATTTAATATTGTCTGAAGGTTTAAGAAATGTCCTATTTGCTCCTCCTTCCAAGTCAGTCATAAGGACTGTAAAAAAGCCAACTCTGACACTTTTCCTGGATGACTCCCCACTTAAATGAAATTATCCCTGTCTTTCTATTCTTATTTTCTTTATCTGCTCTGAATACAATGCCACAGCCAACATACTGCTGTTAATTTGTCCCTGCCCACATGATTGGACCAATCACCTGGAGCAGCTGAACTATATGGGATCAGATAATAGAAATGTTTGGCTTTTGGCTGAGCAAAATGTGAAAGATGCCTCAGTTAACAGGGTCATTGTGTGGCTGTGAGAGTGAGCTTGCGGACTCAATTTGAATAAATTGACCTCTTCTCAGGTAGGTCTTGTGATAATATAGATGGCTTCTTGGTAGGGATGGAGGAGAAATTTTCCAAGACAACATGTAAACCAAAATACTCTCATCCTTCAAAATATGCATTTGTATTTTGGGACTATTTAGGGAATTATTATAATTCGACGAACTCATAAGCAGGATTTGACCTTTGAGCAACAGAAGGAACTAGACAATATAATATAGCTATGTGGATATAAGAAATAGAAGGTATTGTGCATCATGGGGTGGGGATTAAAATACCATGGAAAATGGGGGGGGGGGAGCTGAGAAAAGATAAATTTATTGTGTATTGAAGTGTACTGTATATCTAAAACTTTTGAAAATTCAGTAAAAAAATGCAAAAAAAATGCACTTTGCAGTGCAATTCTCCAGCCACATAATAGGTAGATAGACATATACACTAGGAGGAAGTGTGCTGTAAAATATTGTTTTAATATATTAAACCAGTGTTGTTGCCACATTAAGGATTTCCATGTCTCTTCTGTGTCCTATTACAGATTTGATTAATGGTATGAAGATGACATTAGGAAATGGTGGCTATTTCCAGAAGAGTAGTGCTTTGCCTCTGGCTTCATCCACCACTGGTAGGGTGGTGTGATGTCACAAGAGAGCATGATGGTGGTGTTTCTCATCCGATGTCATTTGTTGATGCAACAAATCTTGGAATTACATCTTGGGATTTGTAGCTGTAGATGAAGCTACAACTCAGCTCAAAATCTCATCAGCACCTTACATGTTAAAATTCTAACAGGAGTTATGAGAATTTCAAGGAAAATGAATCTTGCTTAGGGAATTGGGAATATTTGCATCCTTTCAGTTCTCTAATTGCTCCATGGCTCTTTTGAAAATAATTGGCAGGACTCTACAGAAAAGACAGATCTTCTTATCTGAATATACAATGATGAATGAAACAACCAGTGTGGGGTCCTGATGATGAGTATGGGACTTTCCTTCCTCATAAATAATAATTCTACTGTTGTGCCACAAGACAGCTTGGTAGTTGTGGTGGTGGTGAGCCATCACAAACACTCATTTGTTGATACTGAAAGTTACAGGGTTGTCCATTTAACCTCTCAGCTTATTTGCAATTCACTTGTGGTATTTTAACATTTCCTTTCCTATACTTGCACTAAAATATATTTAGTTTATTTTGACATCTACATTAACTTCCCTAGCTTCTATTTTGTGTGTATGTATGACTCCCCATACATAGAGAGAGAGAGAGTTCATTGAACAAGCTCTACTGAACTGCCCCAGATATACAGTGATACCTCGGGTTACATACGCTTCAGGTTACATATGCTTCAGGTTACAGACTGCGCTAACCCAGAAATAGTACCTCAGGTTAAGAACTTTGCTTCAGGATGAGAACAGAAATCGTGTTCCGGCGGCGCGGCAGCAGCAGGAGGCCCCATTAGCTAAAGCGGTGCTTCAGGTTAAATACAGTTTCAGGTTAAGAACGGACCTCCAGAACGAATTAAGTACTTAACTTGAGGTACCACTGTAGTGTTGAAGCAAGATGAATGCACATCAAATAGACAATCTACAACACAGGTATGTCCTCCTTTGGCAAAAGAGAGCAACAGTTCCCTGATTGGTTTGAGGCCAGCATAAAATGGGGTCATTAGTGTGTTGGCATCCATTCATCTCAGGAAAAAATAGAAGAGTGCGCCTTTGGATATGAAGACAAACAGTTGGAAGGTTGCAGTGCCTTGGGCAGATGTGTCCAGTTGTGGTGTTGCAGATGCATCATGGTGTTTCTTCTCTTTGCGTTCCTCCCAGTGGTCGTTCCTCCTCTGGTCACTGCTATGGATACATGAGCAGTGTCTATCACCAGGCACTGTAGTCATCTGCAATGGATTTCCACATGGGAAAGTTTCAGCCTTCATGTCACATTTGCACACCCTCAATTCAAGCCATTTATAAAGACATTGAACAAGAATGGGCTGAGGGTAGAATCCTGCTTCTTTCTTTGGTGGTCACTCCCAGCCAAGTAAGATTGTCTTTCATGAACACAGTCTTAAGAGTGAGTCTGTAAGTGACTGTGGAGGCCATTTCCGGATCCATACATCCTTCCACACTGGGGAAACATGACTTCCTCTTAGCACATTTCTCCCTTTCGTCCTGATTCCAAGTGTCTTCAAAGTCCATGACACCTTTGATGTTTATACTACTTAAAAAAAAAAAAGATTTGACTTGACAGAGTCTTTAAACCTCTTTTGTTGACCACCAGTATTACGCTTTCCATTTTTAATTTTAGAATAAATTTGTTGCTTTGGAAGATGATAATCAGCCATCTGCACAACATGAACAGTCCAACAAAGTTGATGTTGAAGAATCATTGCTTCGACACTGGTGATCTTTGTTTCTTCCAGTACACTGGCATTAATTTGCCCGTCTTCCCAAGTGATGTGTAATTTTTTTTGGAGACACCATTGATGGAATCTTTTGAGTTGGAGATGACGTTTATAAGTGGTCCATATTTCACAAGCATACAGTAAAGTTGGTAGTGCAATAGCTTTGTAAACAAGCATTTTGCTTTCCCTGTACCCCACTTGTCAATTTTTCCAGGATGACAAAGAACCATTAATGAGTACTCTTTGAGTTCAGTCAGTCAATCAGCTATAATACAGGAGTGTACAGCTTTGTTGATCTTTGCAGCTCTGTGTGTTTAAATTAGGGCTGGGGATTTTTTTCCCATCCTGGGGCCACATTTGCTTATGGTCAAGCTATTAGAGGCCACATGCCCGTGGTAGACAGGACCAGAGACAAAAGTGGACAGAGCAGTGAATTTAAACTTT